AAAAATGTTTGTTAAACGTTATGACGCGTATATTTCTCTTATGCTTCTCCATCATAACTTAGCTAAAATCAACAAAATGTGTTTTAAACTGTTCAGTCTTGTTTAGTGCGTTGTTGAGTAAGGAACCCAATTGTATGCCGGGTACGTACCCTTATTCAGTGTCAACTCTGTTACTGTTGAAAAACGGTGAGTAAAGTGATTTTTTATTTATTTTATAATTTTTTTATAAATATTTTATGTACATTAATTAAGTGGACAAATAAATTCTCCAAAATTCGAATAAAAAGCTAAAATATGGTATTTTTGAGTTAATTTGTCCCCTCTGTTACCGGTCCACTCTGTGACTTATTAACTCCAAAAACTCCAAAAATTAAAAAAAATACTGCTGGTTATGGATTCCTATTGTTGATACCATCCGTAACCACATGAGGCCAATTATAAACATATTTGGCCAACTTAAACGAAACTAAAACGAAGTAACATACCCCAATGCAGTATTTAGCCCCAGATTATCGCCTAAAATTTGTGCTAACTTGAAAAACACTCTGTAACTTATGCCATCTGCATTGATTTCTAGACCCTCAGTTTCAAGTTTTTTGAAAATATCTATAAATGGTGCGAGCGAAATATTAATTCCACAATCAATCATGTACATCGCTACTTTTAATAAATCCTGCAACAAATATATTTGCTAGCCTACTAATTTGAAAATGTGGTATACTTGCAAAACTGTAGTATATTCCACAAACTTTGTGATGGCCTGATTTTGATCCCAAAGGATCATTTATTTCAAAATCGTCAAGGTACAGGAAATATGGCATAGTTACACAGTTTTCAGTATGTTTTAAATTTCGCCAAAAATCGCCATTAAGGAAATGAGAATAACAATTGTCTTTTGAAAAGTGTGTCATATTTACTAGGGTTGCCCTTAAAACTCCTTCAATTTCGAAAAAACATTTTATTTGAAATGTTATGTCTGTTACTGCCATTTCTGATTTTGTTAATGCTAAAGAAGTATTATTGTTTAGTACGACTTCTGCAAGACTTTCACTAAGAATGCACTTCTGTGGATGTTTATACAGTTTTAGTTCCTCTAATTGTTTAAGGAACTTATGTTCAGAGCTAACTTCAGAAAAGGGTTGAGACAGAGTTTGGATTATTTCATCGAGTGAACAATTAATTATCTTCACTGACATTAGGCAACGCTTTTAAAAAATTATATATTGGTGTCATATAACACTGTGCAACAGAATTTTGAATATCAAGTACGTCTTTTCGAGAAAAATTTGTATTTGAATGCAGCTGAAGAAGGAATGACATTGTTGATTCTTTAAATGTTGACGAAAATGTTGGTTTTATTTGTCCCACAGAACTTGTCAAAACAGGCGAATTTTGTACAGATTCCTTTTGCTTGCACGATAATTGATCCATACTTTTAGTTTGTTTAGTATGCTTCGTTAGATGCTGTTGAAATCTGTATATATTATTAAAAATTTGATTGCATTTTTCTTCCATACAAATAAATTCGTAAATTGCTGGGACGCCATGGTCTGATTTTAAATGTTTAGTCAGGTCATTCGGTGTTCGATGACTTTTTGTACAAATGAAGCAAACAAGTAAAGGCATTTTTCGAAAAAAGTATACAGATGATAGTATATCTTAGTTTGCTTAAGAGACTTGCTACGGAGGAAAAATCCTCTGATTTTAATTCAAAAAAAAAATTGCTCCAAAAATGCCCATACTTGTTTGCTTCTTTGTGAGTATTCTGTATTAAAAACATACGATAATTTTATGATAATATCAACACACTTCATATATGAACAGCACTTCCATTTTATGCCGTCGCAAAAAACAAAAAATTCGGAAATACACGTAATGTCGGTTCCAACGGCGATAATTCTGGGTTGACATTTTTCTTTTCTTTCAGCGAAGCGATTAATTATTTCCATAACTTTAGGTTGGATATCATTTGGTGTTGCAACGAAAGTGACAAAGTCATTTTAAGCATCGGCTATTGTAGGCTTATCGGTTTTATTAAGGCGCTGAGGGGGCAGCAATGCATGAAGAAGAATTGTAGTGATGCAATATTTAGTACCTATAGAGACAATATCGATATTAAAACAAAATTTAAACACTAAAGTTAAAACCAAATACCAACCGTTTGAAATGTCTTTGTTGTATAAATATTTTAAATACAATTCTCTGGAAGGACGATCCTTTATTTCTTTTTCAAAAATATCCAATATGCTTTTATAAAAAGATTCCAATTTCAAAAATAATAAGTTCCCCTTCCCTGGGTATAGGCTATCAAAGTCTATTTCGATCTAATACAATTGAAAAAATTATATTTGATAAATACAGGCTGTTTGAAAATATTATAAAATAACATAATATAATGCAATACAATACAATAATATAATGCAATGCAATACAATTCGGTTATTGCTTATAAATGTCGTAAACTTTAAACGCCTAAAAAATATATTAAGGGGGTTCGCAAAATACCATCAAAATCATATTATGAATTTTTGCAGTGTTAAAAAAATAGTTGGTTGTCGTTTCAAGTTCTTTGGACATTTATTTAAGCCTTTAAAATTTACGACATATAACAATACGACACTTACGACACCGTTGTGAATCCCTCAATAATACTATATAATATAATACAATATAGTGTAACATAATATAATATAATATAGTAACAGATACTTACGAGATCATAATATAGTATGTTTCCTAAATTTCAAAATATTTGTATAAGAATAAGATATGCAGTCTCCTTAAAAAAAATACCCATCATAATTATAGATACCCACATGTTTACAAGTTTTGAATATTTATTTTTCTTTTATTTAATTTATAATATTTTTTAATTAGAATACAGTTCATGAGCAAAAATTGTATATTGTTTTGTGTTAATGAACTATATTCTAATTGAAAAATATTAGAAATTAAATAAAAGAAAAATAGATATTCAAAACTTGTAAACATGTGGGTATCTACAACTAATTATGATAAGCATTATATTTATATTTATTATGTTTACCGGTTTTTCTTTTGGGAAAACTTCGGAGATGGCATTAGCCCATTTCTGCATTTCTGCGTATGTCATTTTCACAAAGTTTCCGACATAACTATCCACAACGCAATGAGCTATTGTACTTTGACTTTTTGCATCCAGATATCCATATTTTTCGTTGTATGTTAACACCGTCTGTCCCTTTACTGTGCTTTTTAAAAGGTTGATAAGCCTAGTTTTGTTTATTGAGGAGACTGGTGGCAACTGAGCGGAGGGTGTAGATTCTCTAGAAACACTCAAGTTTGATGAAATTTTCTCCAGCCAATCTATAATTCGACTGTTATCCGATAACGTCTCCCTGTCACAGAGAAGTGGCATTTTCTAAAAAAAAAATTTAAATTAGTAAAAGATAATGGCTTATGTAAAGGAGACCGGCTGGAATCCAAGCAAATATTGGCATATAGGAATCGATAGCCCTTATTACGAGTCCAGTTCAGAAAAATTTCTGGTATGCAGTTTTGTAACTCATAAAATTTTTGGTGCAATAAAGTGCAAGTTTCAAATGGCTACAAAATACCGTAGATTTTTAAATTTTTTTTAAGGTGCTGGGAATTTTCTTCCATATAAAAAATCTGTCGAGCAACAAAAAAAAATTGTCAAACATTGTAGCCATTTGAAACTTGGACTTTATTTACTAAAATTATATGGGCTACAAAACTGTATACCCGGTAGTTTTCTAAAAATATTATTAGCTTATTCACTGTTAGTCATCACACCGCTTTGTTGACTTTTTTTAATTTGTACAAAATTTTAATATCGGATCTCAATGGTTTTTGTTACACAATATGCTATAGTTTTTTATGAATATTAAATAAACAAAAGAAAACCCGTAAATACTAAGGATCAAAAGGGTGCGCTATTCAAATCACAAGGAGAGTATTGTGAACAATTACTTACCATACTATTTCGCCATTCTTTAAGCCCCGCCTTGAACTTAAACATTTCGCCAAAGAAATTCGTATCAAATTTATTGAAAAGCGTTAATACATCTTCAATTTCCAATTTTTTTCAAAATTAGGAATGTAGTGATTCCATGAGCTTTTAAAAGAGTACACACATCGTCACTTAAGTCCCACATTTTAAATAATGACATCGTTTCAATGCACGGTTCAGACATCTTTATTGTCTGGTCCATTATTTACTTGTTTTAAATAATTAGCAGCGATGTAATAATCGAAATTAATTCAAGTAATAAATATAGTATATAAAATTGATCATCAAATTATTACTAGCACTTTTATCTGCACTCACTCCTTGCTGAACTAAAACTAAAAAACAAGAAGCATTTTTTAATTTCTTAATCGAATAGAAATAAGAAAAAATGCAAAGTACCGTTGTTATTGGCATCGAAAATATTTCACTGACATACATGCCTATGTAAGTATGTACATACGTATGTATGTATGTCATGCAAATAGTGAGAATAAAGGAATAAGGCGAAGTGCACATTAGCGTGAATCTGAGATTGCGAATACGCAAAGCTAAAAATTACAACAATGCTACCCATCCGAATTCACCCTGCAAAAATCGTTGGATCATGTAGTCTATTTGTGGTAAATTGGAGTACTTACAAAAGTGTTCCTCTGTCATGCTGTAGCGGACCAACTGGTGTCTCTGCGCTAGCTTATTGTTTGTTATCCGATCACTGCTCGTGTTTTAACGAAACGTGATTGAAGTTGAGCATTTGAAAGCGCATTTGCATGTCTGGCTGTAGCTGAACGTGTAGAGATGCTCGCTGTTAGTTCTTAGCTCCCAGCATGTTCGGGTTCGAATACCGTCAGAGGCAACATATAATTTTTAATTTTTGTCTTGGTTTTTATTAATTTCGAAAAAGTATTTGAGAAGTGAAGAACACAAACGTGTACAAACGAAAAAATATAGCAACAATGCCATTGTTATTATGTTGGAGTAGTTTTGTGCTACTCTGATGTAATGCGGGGATGGAGTATATGGTCTTGCCCTAGGACATCGCAATGTTAATTGGACCATATTTTTTATATGAATTGTGGTTAATTTTGGGGTACTCCTTGGTCCTTAGGGAGTACTCTTTACACGCATGCATGGAGTAGTCGCGATTTTTGCAGGGCAACGCGAAAGTGAGCGCACGTATGAGGATTTGAAGCCAATAGCCCAATTTGCAACAAATTCGCAACGATAGATTCGCGCTAATGTGCCTTACGCTTAAGGGGAAAACGCAAAGAGCCGTTATCATTGGCTGCATATGGTTGTAAGTACTTCACTTACAGGCATATGTAAGATTGTACATACGTATGTATGTATGCAAATGACAAGAAAAAACGGGAAAAATATTTTGAATTTTTAGAGACATCTCCGAAAAATAAAATGATT